ATCCTGTTCTGCACGCTCAACACACACAAGGTCGATATGACCAAGCTTTTAGGCGGGCAAATCGGCTTAGATGACTTCATATTCGCACATCGGAAAGGTATGTCGTTGTGTCCTTGAGGAGAGTGTGCGACGGCGTGCAGGATGTGTGTGTGTGTGTGTGTGTGTGAGGGATTTAAGGAGGATGTATGAGTAATGCGTATGTGTGTTTCCTCACGCATGGCCGTCGGTGTGCAGGGACGCAGAGGAGGAGAGTCTAGTGGGCAGGGTGGGTAGGATTTTTAGCCTGGGGGAATAAAAACAACAGTAATGGGATTGTTTTGTTTGTCTGTTCAGTGATGAGGATGATGATGTGTGTGTGTGTGCGTGTGTGTGTGTGTGTGTGTGTGTGTGTGTGTGTGTGTGTGTGTGTGTGTGTGTGAGGGAGAGAGAGAGAGAGAGAGAGAGAGAGAGAGAGAGAGAGAGAGAGGGGGGGGGGGTAGAGAGAGAGAGAGAGAGAGAGAGAGAGAGAGAGAGAGAGAGAGAGAGAGAGAGAGAGAGATGGTGCATTTTCTGTGTATATAAGGAGATGGAGAGGGAAAGAGAGAGAGAAAGAGAGAGAGAGAGAGAGAATGAGAGAGAGAATGAGAGAGAGAGAGAGAGAGAACGAGAGAAAGAGAGAAAGAGAGATAGAGAGAGAGAGAGAGAGAGAGAGAGAGAGAGAGAGAGAGAGAGAGGGAGAGAGAGAGAGAAGGGGGGGGGGGGTAGATAGATAAATAGACAGACAGACAGCTGCACACGAGGGACTGTATGCGTGCCTTAAAGTTGCCATATATTATGCATGTTATCTGAGTGATGCAAGACGTATTTGGCTCGGGTGTGTGATCAACAGAGATAACACGCAAAAACAACAACGCGAGAGAACCCCAGCATGCATGAAAGCGTAAACACGAGGCCTGAGAAATACAAACAGATTCCCAGAGAGTGAATCCTGAATGTGTTTACGTCGCGACAGTTTTGCTAAAAGTGAAACAAGATGTAGGTGAAATGACTGAGATGTGATGAGGAGGTGGCGTGTGATGAGTTTCAAATTTGTCTTTTGCCTGGTCATTCTAATTAATTAAGCTAAATGTCAGGCTTGGATAAGACAGTAATTTAAGGTTTTTGTGTTTGCTAGGGATTGAGTTACACTGGGCTGAGTTTTTAAAAATATGAAATGATCAGGTTTGATTAGAAGGTTGATGTTAATCTATTGAGTAAGATTTGCAATTCGGTTTGAGGCAAAAAAAAAGTTTGGTAAGTTGAATCTGATATTTTTCAGTGGCTAAGTTTGTCACGTTTTAACATTGGCGTGTGTATACGGTTTAGAAACATAATAACGTGTGTGTCTTGCTTCTACTCCCAGTCTCTCTCTCTCTCTCTCTCTCTCTCTCTCTCTCTCTCTCTCTCTCTCTCTCTCTCTCTCTCTCTCTCTCATACCTCTTCCCCTACACACTCTTCTATATCATATTCTCCTTTTCCCTTCCCTTCCCCTTCATTCTCCCTTCTCTTGTCCCTCCATTCCTTCCACTTCCACCCCCCCCCCTTCCATCCAGCCCTCTCCACCTCTCTCCTTCATCCTCTTTATTCAACCTTCCCCCTGTATCCCCCTCTTCATCAGTAATCTTTGTAATTGTCCTTCTCATCCTCGCCTCTGTTTCAGGTCGACCGAAGGAGGTGGAGATAACGAAGACGGAGGACGCTTTGGGCCTTACGATCACAGATAACGGCGCCGGTTATGCCTTCATCAAGAGGATCAAGGAAGGGTCCGTTATAGACAGAATCAAACACATTGAGGTGAGTCAGCTGGGGGGGGGGGGGCTTTGTGTATTCCGTTTGGGAGCATTGTTGATGCTTTTTTTTTTTGTTTGGTTCCGTGAGACAATCCAGACGTAGAACAAAGGCAGGTCCTCGCTTCCGGTGGCAGAAAAAAACATCCATACTTCGGATGATGTTATTGCTGTCAGGAGGCGATGCCTGTGAGACTAATTTCTCAGGGTTGAGGGTAAAGTGATTAGTCGCGCTCCAGATCTCTCGGCGACAGACAGCTGTCATTCATTTCACTCTTGTTTTAACCAGTGGAAGAGAGGCGTAGTCACTCTCTCTCCACGAACGGCGCCTGGCGTGGTGGTGGTGGCAGCCCTAGGGATCTTGAAAATGCTCCTTTGTTTTCTATATTTATGAGAGAAAGGTGCGTGAGGGAGACACACGCTTGCGCACGTACATGAAAATATTTCCCAGGTCACGTTCGAGAGTGATTTCCGTGGCCTGGCGGTCCGGGTCATGAAGAGGAATGAGAGAAAGGAGGGCGAAAGGAGGGTGTAATAAAACGACTATCTAAATATGCCAGTAAGTGAAGGTATTGAGAAAACAGCTGACATCTCCTGCGAGGCCTCCCATCGCTTCCAGCTGCCAGATGGTGTTTGCCTTGGCCTCTGCATTCCAATACACTGGGAATCATTTGCATTGCAAAGGTTTTCCGACCAGATGATGCATGATATTTAAATCACGATTTCGTGCAGATAGCAGAGGATGTTTTACCGTGCCTGCATTGCATTCGAAGACCCGGGGCTGCTGTTAATTATATTTGTCGCGTTGTTTGTTCACATTTAAAAAACCGTTTCACCTTGAGGTATTCAAATAGACTTAGAACTGTAGTTTTTAGACACAAATCAAATTGCACTGTTAATACAAAGTCTTTATAAGCTGGAGTGTATTGTGTGGTTGATGTACAGCGGTATGACGATGTAATACATGCAAAGATTTGTTATCTCGAAGTGTACAAGCACTCCATTGTGCGTTTGTTTCAACCGTACTCTTTCTACTTCTCCGTACAAGACGTCCCTTCAATCGCAGAGCAAGATTTCCAACTACCATGACTTCCGAGAATATTTCCCCAAATGCCTATAATGTTTTAGGAAGATTACGCTTCGGACACGAAACTAACTGTTACTCTTTCTTCTTTTTGCAGATCCTGTTCTGCACGCTCAACACACACAAGGTCGATATGACCAAGCTTTTAGGCGGGCAAATCGGCTTAGATGACTTCATATTCGCACATCGGAAAGGTATGTCGTTGTGTCCTTGAGGAGAGTGTGCGACGGCGTGCAGGATGTGTGTGTGTGTGTGTGTGTGTGAGGGATTTAAGGAGGATGTATGAGTAATGCGTATGTGTGTTTCCTCACGCATGGCCGTCGGTGTGCAGGGACGCAGAGGAGGAGAGTCGAGTGGGCAGGGTGGGTAGGATTTTTAGCCTGGGGGAATAAAAACAACAGTAATGGGATTGTTTTGTTTGTCTGTTCAGTGATGAGGATGATGATGTGTGTGTGTGTGCGTGTGTGTGTGTGTGTGTGTGTGTGTGTGTGTGTGTGTGTGTGTGTGTGTGTGTGTGTGAGGGAGAGAGAGAGAGAGAGAGAGAGAGAGAGAGAGAGAGAGAGAGAGGGGGGGGGGGGGTAGAGAGAGAGAGAGAGAGAGAGAGAGAGAGAGAGAGAGAGAGAGAGAGAGAGAGAGAGAGAGGGTGCATTTTCTGTGTATATAAGGAGATGGAGAGGGAAAGAGAGAGAGAAAGAGAGAGAGAGAGAGAGAATGAGAGAGAGAATGAGAAGAGAGAGAGAGAGAACGAGAGAAAGAGAGAAAGAGAGAGAGAGAGAGAGAGAGAGAGAGAGAGAGAGAGAGAGAGAGAGAGAGAGAGGGAGAGAGAGAAGGGGAGGGTAGATAGATAAATAGACAGACAGACAGCTGCACACGAGGGACTGCATGCGTGCCTTAAAGTTGCCATATATTATGCATGTTATCTGAGTGATGCAAGGCGTATTTGGCTCGGGTGTGTGATCAACAGAGATAACACGCAAAAACAACAACGCGAGAGAACCCCAGCATGCATGAAAGCGTAAACACGAGGCCTGAGAAATACAAACAGATTCCCAGAGAGTGAATCCTGAATGTGTTTACGTCGCGACAGTTTTGCTAAAAGTGAAACAAGATGTAGGTGAAATGACTGAGATGTGATGAGGAGGTGGCGTGTGATGAGTTTCAAATTTGTCTTTTGCCTGGTCATTCTAATTAATTAAGCTAAATGTCAGGCTTGGATAAGACAGTAATTTAAGGTTTTTGTGTTTGCTAGGGATTGAGTTACACTGGGCTGAGTTTTTAAAAATATGAAATGATCAGGTTTGATTAGAAGGTTGATGTTAATCTATTGAGTAAGATTTGCAATTCGGTTTGAGGCAAAAAAATGTTTGGTAAGTTGAATCTGATATTTTTCAGTGGCTAAGTTTATCACGTTTTAACATTGGCGTGTATACGGTTTAGAAACATAATAACGTGTGTGTCTTGCTTTTACTCCCAGTCTCTCTCTCTCTCTCTCTCTCTCTCTCTCTCTCTCTCTCTCTCTCTCTCTCTCTCTCTCTCTCTCTCTCTCTCTCATACCTCTTCCCCTACACACTCTTCTATATCATATTCTCCTTTTCCCTTCCCTTCCCCTTCATTCTCCCTTCTCTTGTCCCTCCATTCCTTCCACTTCCACCCCCCCCCCTTCCATCCAGCCCTCTCCACCTCTCTCCTTCATCCTCTTTATTCAACCTTCCCCCTGTATCCCCCTCTTCATCAGTAATCTTTGTAATTGTCCTTCTCATCCTCGCCGCTGTTTCAGGTCGACCGAAGGAGGTGGAGATAACGAAGACGGAGGACGCTTTGGGCCTTACGATCACAGATAACGGCGCCGGTTATGCCTTCATCAAGAGGATCAAGGAAGGGTCCGTTATAGACAGAATCAAACACATTGAGGTGAGTCAGCTGGGGGGGGGGGGGGCTTTGTGTATTCCGTTTGGGAGCATTGTTGATGCTTTTTTTTTCTTTTTCTCTCTTTTTTTTAGTTTTCTTTTTTTTTTTTTTTTTTTTTAGTTTTCTGGGGGGTTTTAATGTTTTTTTTTATTGTTGGTGATGCTGTGTGATAATTTTTTGTACTGTTCTTAATTATTGTTCCC